GAGGGAGCCTGGAGCAGGCCTCCCGGCCAATCCTGATACCAGAAGTATCAGGCTAGGCGTCGGAGCATTTGGGGGAGTACGAGTACTCGCTTAGATACTTGGTATAGGTGCATCCCTAATCTGTACTGCGCATATGCCTGCCCTATTATCCTTTGCGGCCGCCCGAGAATATTCAGATCTTCGGATGGGTGCACGCAGCGGAGACACAGGTAAGTTTTAACCCTTTTGTAAAGCTTTTATTTATTTCATGTTTTTGAATATATCTACTGCTTGCTAGCATATATGCAAAAATACGTGAGGGTTTAACTATCCTTTAACTATTAATAAAAATGTATCTTATTTGTGTATCACTCAGCTGTAGACCCTCAAATCATCTCTAAATTGGTACTGACACTGCCCTTCCTTCTGGAAGGTGGGTACTTTTGTTCCCTCTGGTCCCTGTGTGTGTTGTAAAGTAGCCACCATTACAAGCTCACTCCTGTGATGGACTACAATCTCAGTACAAATTAGTATGAGATTGTAGTCCAGAAGGAAGGACAGTGTCAGCACTAATTCAGAGATGATTTGATGAGCTACAAATAACATACATTTTTGTTAATAGTTAAAGTATTTGAATGCATTTGTAAGATTTAACTTGCATTAGTTTTCTTATTTCAGACTGTACATTTTCTGCAAGTAAAGGAACATACCTGTTGATGCTCTCAGAATTCCAGAACTTCCAGTGCACTAAACTGAAGGGTTTTTCTAGATACCTCCTTTGAACTTCAAATGTAGTAGAGAATAGAAGAGGGGGAGGTGTTTGTACCCAGAAGGTGCGTATTGAGGAACCTGGCCTTGGGGCAGCAGAGAGAGTAAATCCGGCCCTGCACATACTCACCTTACCTTCAGTCCCCCACAGCTCTGTTCTGAAAGAATAGAAAAATACCTGATACTTCCAGGTATAGGGAGCATCTGACTTCCTACCATGCTTGGCTCTCGACTAATGCCAGTACAGTCCAGTGTAAGCTCCAAGTTGCTATGGAGGAGAAAATAAAAGGAATGACCCAATGGTTATGTATTCATAACAAATGTATTTTTTCCTCATAGACATTTTTAAAAATAGATTTTATAAGCTTTAAATTGAAAGCAAGCAAGGGAAAACATCACTATAGTTTCCTGAAATCTGATCATATAAAAAATCATTCTTGTCACTTCCCAATTCTGTATAATAATAATAAAAATGTATCACTGATAATGGCTGAGTGCGATCATTGCTCAATCATAGACTGAAAAGTCTCACAAACTGTGTAAAAGCCATCTAGTTCTGCAAATAATAATATCATTAGGATAATATTTTCATTTTTAATGTGTTTGTTTTAATTATTACATTCTGAAAACTGGAGTAGATGATTTAAGTTAATGACTTATATCCTGAGTCGGTCTCTGGTTTTACACAGGCCACCAACAGACAGTGAAAGAATTCCGGCATGGTTAGGATGTGTGGAACAAGCCCATGTTGTTACAGATGTTACATCAGTTACATGAGAGGCTTCCACGCTCATACAATGTCTACTGTTATAGCATCACCTACTGGTCAATGTGTGTAGTGCACTGGCTGACTGCTGGAAGAAAGGAGAACACTTTTAGTGAAAGGTCTACAAGAAAGTCACCATAAATAAATAGTGGATGACACTACAAATATTCTAGTCTCTTTAAAGCGTCTCTAGCGTCTCTTTAAAGTGGATCTAAACCCTAAAGGCCCGTTCACACATGTGAACCTGCATTGTGCTGTGCCGGATAAATGCAGGTCACCACTAGGAAACATAGAAAACAATTATGCGTCCCATATATACAACAACACAGTGGATGGTATGCTGCGATAAAAGGCAAACATGCTGTACGTTATCGCAGCACACTGGACCCCCTGTAGGTCGCCACATGGCAGTGCAGCAGACCGTACTGCTGTCAGGGGACATGATTGGGATATACACATTGTACACTCCATAAAAAGTTAAAATAAAAAATGTAAACAGTCACAGCTCCAGCAGTGTGCAATATCTCGAAAAGTAACCCTTGCAGTGGGGCTACCCCCGCACTGCAGAGGTTAAGTGCTCATTTTGGTCTAGGGGCTCAAATAAAAAAAAATATCCTGCCTGGTTGCAGCCTCCTCTCCCCTGGGATCTAGAGGTCTAAGGACCGCTGACGTCATTACGTCCAATGCAGGTCCGTTGACCATTGACTTGCATTAGACGTGTGGATGTCAAGAGACGTTCCACTGCGTGGAGCTGGCGGGAGGTGAGGTGGGGAGAGGTGAATGCTGACTGCAGCTGGACTGAGGATCAGGTGAGTATATCTTCTGTATTCTAGTACCTAGACCAAAACAAGCATTTAACCCATGCAGTGCAGGGGTAGTTATTTATTCTTTAATAAATATTAATAAATATTTAATATAAGCTGCAGATTTAAAAGGATTGATTTTTTTTTTTTTTATTGACATTACCATGTTGTAGCCTAACTGGAATGGTGGTGATAGGGTTTAGATCTACTTTAAGAATATAGATGCTGCAAGGCATTTCAAGGACACACACATTGACCCTATTTTTGCAAAGTTTGGAAATTGCTCAGTTTATCCACATAGAGTCTGGCTTACTAAGTCTGCTACCTCTGTTTGCTTCTTGTCTGTCTGCTCTACTATTTGCTGCTCATTCCCCTGGTTTATATCCTCGGAATATGTGATGGATTTCTGGATGTACACACAAGGATTTTACTTGCAGTTTCAGCAACTTTCCTTGGTCTATTCTGCCTTCCTGAGAAGTTCCATTTGGCTTGATACAAGAAATACACAAATACATATAGCTGCCTGCTTTGCTCGAGAACTTGTATCCAAAACAAGTACCACCACATTGTTGGTTATGTGCTTAGGTGAAGCACTGAGATCTTGAGGAATGCTGAATAAAGTTTTACTTGCTTAGAAGGACATTACATATGAACACAGCATTATGCAAGAAACATATAGATAAACGTCTTGTGTATCATAGATAAGGATGCATATAGAGAGACTAACATTGCACTACACTGCCATCTACAGCTCAAAAAGACACACTACAGTCAGTAATATAATCAGTACATATCAGAAAAGGCTGTTGCATTTCCAACACATATAAGGGTGTAGCAACAATTTGGGGACATTTCTTATACGATGGGACTTGGTACAATAGGTCCTGTTGTGAATAGTAATGTACTGTATATGATTGCTTGGAACAAAAGTATCTATTATATTTACTAAGGGGCAGTTCTAACCAGTACTGGATTATTTGATTAGGTCTTTTTGTTTGTTTTAACTATTTGAGGGTGCTGTCAGATGTTTTGAGTTTTTCATTTAGCATGGAATACAAATTGAATTTATACATATACAGTATGTCTCTTGTGCACATTTTCTAGTTGTAACTGTAATATCCCTTCTCTTTTTTATAGATTTTTTAGAGGTTCAGCTACATGGTCTACCTGCACTTTAATTACAGCTTTAATTATTTCTATATGCTCTGCCTACCTCACTAGCCCCCTTTTTTTTTTTACTCTTGGTCTACACACTGAACTTTAACAAACTTAAAAACACCAGAAATATCTCAATTTCAAATGTTATTTAAGGATAATTTAGAAAAACTGAAAAATCAGTAACAAGCTATAAGAATAGCCACTTGGGGGTCTACTTATAAAAAAAAAAAAAAAATGGTTTTGTGTGAGTTAACCAGCTGTTGTGAGAATAGGGCAAAAAATGTTCTTAGTGCAATAAATAAATAAATACATGTAAGTAATGAGATACAATGTTACGATTCGAAAGGCCACTGGAGGGAAAGAGCATAGTAATGTAATCATTCATACTAATTGGATAGCATGTTAGCAAAGTGATACAATGATGGGAAAGAACATTAAGGCCTTGTTCACACCAAGCGCGGAGCAGATCCAGACCAGAGCAGGTGCAGACCGGATCTAAACTGCGTCCAATGCATTCCTATAGTATTTTGACCTCCAGTTCACATCGCAGCGTGCGGATCCAGACCAGATCCAGAGCAGGTGAAAAAACTGCGGCAAGCCCTATTTTACCTGCTCTGGATCTGCTCTGGAACGCATCAAAAATGCAAAAACGCATCAAAAACGCATGCAAGTGCCTGAAAGCCCATGTTAAACTGACCAAAACCGGCCCGGAAAGCATCAAAAACGCATCAAAACGCGTCAAAAACGCGGCACAACCCACTGCACTGCGTGTGCAGAAACCTGACCGGATCTGCTCTGCATTTGGTGTGAACAAGGCCTCAGGGCTTGTTCACACCAAATGCAGAGCAGATCTGCATGAGTTTCTGCACATGCACGTGTTTTGCCACGTTTGTGACGTGTTCCGGGCCATTTTTCGTCTAATCGGCTTTCAGTGGAATCCAGGACGTTTGGAGGTGTTTTTGATGCATTTTGGTGCGTTCCAGAGCAGAAAAAAAAGGAATGCTGCCGTTTTTCTACATGCTCTGGAACTGAACGCTCTGGTGTGAACTAGAGCCCAAAATACCATTGGAATACATTGGACGCAGTTTTGATCCGTTCTGTAACTGCTCTGCTCTGCTCTGCATCTGCTCCGCGCTTGGTGTGAACTAGCCCTTATTTGCCCTATTCTCACAACAGCTGGTTAACTCACACAGAACAAATGTACACACAGATTCGATGGATGAGTACCAATGTAAATTTATATTAATAGATCCCCTTAATATTTGCCAAAAAGGTTTCTGTTTGTGTTCAGATTAATGCTACCCTTTGCAGAGAGAGTGATCTCAAAAGTAGACACCATAATCCAAATGCATTTTTTGTTTGTTTGTATAATTGGAAGATATATTGTGTTGCATATATGTTGCATGTTTCTTATGCAGTACAAAGATTTATATACAGTCTATGCCGAGAAATTAATTGTAAAATATTATCTTGCAGAGGTTCTAAGAAATATAAACAGATGTGCAAGTGACTAAGGATTATCCATAATGGCATCCCGCCAGTGCCCTCCTGCTATGTTCAACTCCATGAATCCTCCTATGAACAGCTATGTGGAGCATTGCTACCTGAGGTCCCCCAATGTGATGGCTGAAGGTCAGTGTACAGGATGATAGACAATTAAAGAGTAACTCTGCTTTGCAGCAAATGTATGCACTGTCTTTTTAATACAAAACATTTTATAATTTATTTGTATTAAATCAAGTAACCTCTTCAAATTGTTTTCATTTTCTGCTGTCAGAATATGATTAACCTTTCTCTGTACTGCACTTTGGCAACACACTGCAGTTTGTAGACAGCATTTATTTCCATGGCCTCCATGCACATCCCCGTGCTTCTGTACCAAGCTCACTTCCTGTCTTATAGTGAGATGTGAGGTGGCATCTTTTATGTAGATGGATGTTCATGTCTAACGTAGCCCTTTCATTTTAACTCAGCACTGCTCAAATGCATACGTTGTAATGCAAAACACAGTATTTGGCAAACAAAAAGGCTGTGTTTGATCTGCTTGGCCTAAGGCACCACAATTGGACTTGCAAAAAAGACCATAAAAACAGATATCCCATTGCATACCCGAACAGAAATCCACTGTAGTATATAGAAGGGTGCTGGAATGACTTGCAGTTGGCACTGCTCAGGTTCAAACGTAGAGGAGGTAGTCACCCACACACCAAGGTCCAATGCATCAATACATCCTTTTATTGACGGCAGATACACACGGCATCACAAGCATGAGCAACATTTTGGAACCTATCAAGGTCCCTTCATAAGGCAAATAACATAGTGACCAACAGATATCCCATTACACACCAGATCGGAATCCCACTGTACTTTGTAGAAGGGTGCTGGAATAACATGTGGTTGACGTTGCACAAATGTCTTTATTTGCCTCATTAAGGGACTTCGATAGGTTCTGAAACATTGCTCATACTTGTGATGCCATGTGTATGTGCCATCAATAAAAGTAAGTATTGATGCATTGGACCTTGGTATGCATGTCATTATCTCCTGTACAAAGAAACAAAAGAAATGCCTCTGAACATTTGATGTGCGTTTCAAAAGTATGTAAGCTTTGTAAATGTATTTACCTGACTTTTTTAACATAAATCAAGAATTTCACTTAAATATGTCCAAAGAAGATTCTCCATTGGCCTCAGCAAACATTTGTATTACATAGTGACAGTGTTATCATGGAAGGCTCATGTCCATCAAGTTCAGGAGGAAAACAAATTTCTTCCTAATATCCAGACCAATGCCTGAAAGAAATCTTGCTATGCCAACCTTAAGTAATGATCATTTTAGATATTATTCACTGCAAGAAAATGATCCTGTGCTTTTGTTGTCCGATTTGTCACAGAAACTTACATAGATCTAGCTGATTGCTTGCTTTAGGCAATTACTCCATCCTTGAGTAATTAGGGTTCAGATTATTGAGGTCATACAACGGTCACGTCCCCTGCCCTCTTCCCTGCATCAATGTTACATGGACAGTATGAAATCATTTAGTTAGTATACTTGGCATTGAGTCCCATCCAATGTCTGATATCTTTTCAATGTGTTTTTATATCAAGTTAACAGAAATGCAGCTTTTTTTGAGTTTCTTTTTCTCAGTCTGTAAGTTATACCTGCTAGACAAATTGAAATATATATTTCCTTTAATGCTATGCGCATGATTATTATCACTGTGCTATATTACCATCATAATAAAGTATTTATCCATTCATTTGATATGTGCAGGCATGAATGAGATGCCCTATTGCCATCAGAACAACCTCATGACTAGCCACCATAGCTTTGGACTGGCACAAACCAACGAGCACATGGCTGGTGCAGACGGTAATCATTTCAGATCTGACACAAAGAGTTAGAAACAGGCTCATAGCATAACATTGCAAAAGTTGTGCATATTTTAAATGTTGCAACCAATATAACATAATTTACAGTATATAACATAAGAACCTTCAACAAAGGGGCTCTCACTATGTAGGACACAAGCTAAAAGTTTACAGACACATGGTAAAATTAGACAATGAATATCTCATGTATAAAGGTGTATATAATATATTTTATCCCATTTATATAGCACCAAGGCGGGGTATTTTTCTGCATCGATTTTCAGAGTACATATAATCAGTCACTGACTCACTAAAAATACCACAATCTAATGTCCCTACCACAGCCTGTACACACACAATAGGGCCACCTGTATGTCTTTGGTTGGAGAGAAGCCACATCAAACCTATGCAGACACAGGAAGGACATACACACTCCATGTGTACAGTTCTCAGTGGGAATTAGGCCCAAGACCCTAAAACTACAAGGCAAGCGTACATACATACAAATGGCAATGATAGGGGGTTGTATATCCACTTTGTCTCTAAAATAGTGCTGCCAGAGCATGCACAAGGTTGACCATGAGAGGTTGCATCTAGGTAGATATAGCATGGCAATTCTAATTATATTTAATATAGTAATAAAGTAGTGTCAGTGACCTTATACCATTTAATGACTATTATCTGTTTTTCTCTATCTAGGGTCTCGTTTTTCTACTCCTCGAAGTTCAATGAAGCTAAGCAAGAAGAGAGCCATGTCTATATCCCCTCTATCAGATGCCAGTATCGATCTTCAGACCATGATACGAACATCTCCTAATTCCCTGGTAGCATTCATCAACTCCAGATGTTCCTCCGCCAATGGTTCCTATGGCCACTTATCAATCGGGACCATAAGGTATATATGGGAACACTTGCTGTAATAGTATGTGTCATCTTACTAAGAATGTGACATCACCTATTTATAATTACATAGTTTGTTTGAAGTAAAAAAAAACATAAGTCCAGTCAGAGCTGTATTTTAAAGAAGACATTTAATCAAAAGTTTGTATTGCGTATCCCACAGTAATAGAGCTGTAATACAGTTCTATAAGGTTGATATAATATAAATACAAATTATGAAATCCACAGAGATATAAAGAAACAGGGTAAGAATAGAAAACAATCTGCAGTTTATTGCACCCCTTAATGTGGCCAAGGCCTATTTAAATAAATATATACAGTATATCCTTATACAAACCAAAATCCTTCTTGACCTCTAACATACTATGATTGGGTATTACTACAGCAATTGTTTTGAAATTTTGAAATGACAACTTTGGTGATCAATTCACATTTTATTCTATGTTGCTTTTGCTTTCAGTCCCTCACTTGGGTATCAGAATTGCCTTAACCACCAGAGGCCTCAGGGCTCGTCTTATGGATCAAACAACCATATGTCTTACAACACACATGAGCACTTATCCAGCAGGGGAGTGGGTGCCCTTCAATCACTTACCTCTATCAAGCACTGCCAGGTGGGTTTTCTTTGTCTTACATGATAGATAATCTTCCAGGACAGAAATATCAGCACTGCCATTGCTGATTTAAGAACTTTAAAAACTTAAGAATTGTGCATATCATCTGTAATGCCTGTTCCAGGTAAATGGCTCTCAGTAATTGACAAAGTAGGGGAAAAAAGCTTAGGGGTGAGAGTCCTGGACCAGACACTTTCAAAGGCATGTCAACAGTGGCAGTTTCTATAGTTCTATGCTGACAGATTCCTATTAATGGCTTAAATGTCCACATAAAATTGATATTTCATTTCTCTTACAGCTTAACAAAAAATAGCATACTTTTTTTTTTTTTTAGGAAATATGAAATTTGTGTTTTTTAAAAAGCTAATTGCACCACCCACTGTGTCAGTTTATTTAATAACACTGGTCATTGTCATCCTCACAGATGAAATCTGAACCATTATCCAGCACAAGCTTAGATGCTATGAATACCAAGAGACTGGAAGATGGATCAGAGGGGGATATATCAAGTCCAGCTTCTGCTGGAACACAGGTATAATGGCACATTACTGAAGTAAACCAACTGCCATTAATTGCACCCCCAAAGCCCAACATACCCAAATATTAGGGATTAGTAAGCCTACTCATATGCCCCCCACGGTGTCTGCTGACACAACCCAGATTTCCTAACGATCAGCATTGATAAGCATCCCTAGGGATCCCATTACTATGTATTTCTTTACTATTCTGCATTTCAAAACACGCTGCAAAGCAATGGCTTTCAGAAAATAGGCTGTAGGGGTAGGTTTACCTCTGTTCCGCCTAAGCTATTCAAGGTTTTTTGGCATTTCAAGTTCATAACTACCTTAATATTAAGGTCAAAAGGTCTCCAGTAATTGTCCATAAAAATATATACCTAACAAAAAAAATGCACATTAGGTACACCATGACCTGCATTGTATATAATCAGACATTTGCTATTTTTATTTATGTTTCCTTATCGAAAGACTCTCTGTGGGACTAATAACATAAAGGTGTTTTCTTATACTATGTATTCATTAACTGGTACAGTGTAATGATAACTGTTGAAAAGATCAAAGATGGATATTTGAGAGGTGCACACCTCATTACAAAAAATGCAATTGAGGAGCAGGCAATCATTATAGCTTGGGAATGCACCTTTAGCTTGTTGCAATGATCATGAGTATAGCCCATGTAAAACCTGTATGCAAAGAATAGGAAAGGCATAGATCCCATATCCCTTCCACTGTATAAATGCTTATATTTTAAATAACAATACAACATGCAGGTAAGGGCAGGTTTCTTTAGGTCACCAACAATCATCTCACGTGTAGCCACATGCTTTCTTGAGTAGTGGGATACACCCCTAATACTTCCCTCATTTAAAAACCTTAAAGGTGTGTCATTCAATCTAAAACTTTCTAGTAGATTTCTGTGTGGTCCTTTCCTGGTAGAATCCATTCACCATAGCATTTCATAATATTTCTTAAAGCAAACTTGTTGCTTTCTACAGCTATGCCACCCCGCCACAACAGCACATACTCACCCTTTTTTTTACTTCCCCACCACTCTGTTCAGCCACATTTATGATTCATTTTTCCTAAATAATAATCATGATAGACGACACAGAGCCTACTAGAAATGGATTGTATATTCTCTGCCTAATTAGTGGCAGAACGTCAAACATCTGCTAGGTATCCCAAGACCTGGATGACTGAAAAACCAGTATAGATATTTTCTCTGTCTATATAGACAACAGCTCAGCTTCTAAATCCATCTCTCGGTGTAACTTGTCTTCACTCCTAGATACAGTACAGCAAGTTTATGAATTTCTGATCTATTCTAGCAACAAAATGTGTAGCTTATACTGGAAAGTTTATCATTTATCATTTCTCTTTGAAATAGGATCCATTGCTAGGGTTGCTGGATGGCCGAGATGACTTAGAGAAAGAAGATGGGAAACATGAACCAGAAACTGTGTATGAGACCAACTGTCACTGGGAAAACTGTACTAAAGAGTTTGACACTCAGGAACAGCTTGTGCATGTAAGATGTTTTATTGTAGTTCCACCATTTCCAAATGCTTATTTGGCTGCTATAGTCTACTGCACATATACCCCTCATACCAAGCTTGACAAGGCCAGAAAACGAATTCCAAATTTGCATTACTCTCTCGCAGCACATTAACAATGAACACATCCATGGGGAGAAGAAAGAGTTTGTGTGTCACTGGCAGGACTGCTCCCGGGAACTCAGACCATTCAAGGCCCAGTATATGCTTGTTGTCCACATGAGAAGACACACTGGAGAAAAGCCCCACAAGTGTACAGTGAGTTTTTCAGCCATCCATATTCAAAAAAGCCTGCAACTCATAGATTATCATCATTGGTTAATTTAATGTTAATTTAATACAAATTATAAAGCTTATTATTTACGTTTCTAACAAATAATTACACGTTCTACTTTATGAGCCAAAATTGTCTGTTTCCAGAGCTGAATATGTTTAAAGAAACACAGAAAAATATGTAGCATACCAGCGCGTAAGTATCACTACAGTAGTATATACTTATATGAGTACCAACATAACTAGTATACAATTTTTATCTTATTGAATATTAGCTTATGTTAAAAGCAAAAAAATCTTTTTACAAGTCAAATAGAATCAGTTATCTTATTTGTAGCCGACACCTCTTTTTCATTCTTCCATAATATCAACAATCCAAAAATACAAATGACATTGCATAAATCATTACAAACATATTGTGAGAAGAAGGATGGAGGTCTCAGGGATTCATCATGTTTCCCGATACGACTTGATCTGAAATGGACAAAATTGGGTAGATTACTTTCTGCTCTAAAAAATGTCGTTAGATTAACATTTCAACTAATTATATTTCTGTTTTACAATGTTCTCATGAATAATGCATGCATTGAACATCACATTATCTTCACCACAATGATGAACCAGAGTGTCACATAGCTGTCTCACAGGGAGTTGTAGGGGACAGTCTGAGGGCAGGCTCAGAGTACAAATTGCACCTGAGAGCAAAGAGAGACCTCAGTTTACTCAGACAGCTCCAGGCATGGCACCTTGGTAGGGGGTAATTAATACTGTAAGTATTGACAATGAAGTATGCCACACAAAAAAAGTTTGGAGACCATTGATTTGTTTCTTGGAGAAATGGGAACATTGGGAATATAATTGTTTTATCCTAGAACTACTGGAGCTTATACTGTCATCTATAATGTATTTGTACTTAAGCGCCCCACTATCTTCAGGGGCAGGTGCTAGTATTGGCAACATGTACCACATCTTATAATGTGTTGACTGAGAGGAATGGAGGAATTTCTTAAATATATTCAATTTACAGTTTACAATGACATACACTGGCATACAATGTTAAAGGATTCTATTCTTTGATATGGAGACCTACAAAAGAACAATACAATTGAAGTATTGAAGTACCTTTAACCCACAGCCAAAAACACTATCCTTCACACTACCAGTGCACATCCCAGTCAAATCATATGTAATAGATAACTTCTATGTAATAAAAGAATGTTAGAAGGAGAGGGAAATGAATAAATATACAATGCTGGTGCTATGTAACTTGTAAAAAGATAGTTTTGTTTCTAACACAGGCTTTTAAGCTACAAAATTATATACCTTTGGCTACATAAAAAGTCCAATTATTGGCAAAAAAATTTATATTATACATCAAAATTGCTGGCCTGAAAATTGTCAGCGAGTGTTATTGCTCAGGGTTCAGTTTAAGACATTACTTTTGGCTCTCTGTTCTATATCAGTCTTCCTCGACACTAGTACAACCAATACTTGGTCCAGCTTCTGTTTTTCTAACATTTACAATGACTGAAAGCACTGGAAATAATAATAATTATTATACAGCATTTATATAGCACCAACAGTTTGCGCAGAACTTTACAATATAGGGAGGACATTACAGTTACAATACAAATCAAGACAAGATGGTAAGGAGGGCCCTGCCCGTGAGAGCCTACAATCTAAAAATATCTGGAAATAGCTATTTTGGTAAATAAAGTGCATTAGAACTTTTCATAAATTGTATCGATCTTACTACTCAACAAAGTCAAATGACATCCTTAGTTTATGTATAACTTAATACATTTCATGTGTTCTATATTTTCCTTTTTTAGTTTGAGGGTTGTAACAAAGCATACTCACGTCTAGAAAACCTGAAGACCCACCTGCGCTCCCACACAGGAGAGAAGCCATATGTGTGCGAACATGAAGGCTGTAACAAGGCCTTCTCTAATGCTTCTGACCGGGCCAAGCACCAAAATCGCACTCATTCCAACGAGGTAGGAAGGTGTTTTTATTGGTAGTTGTGCAAATACTGGGTCAACACAGTAGCAGAAAAAATCTCATACAACGAACTAAGACCAAGGTATAAAAAAGTTGTAGTGTAATAAAGCCAGCCATCATTACCAAATAAAGTACAACACAATCTCATAACACCACACTAACTTGCAAGTGTTTCAGCAAAAATGTCCTCCACGGCGTTAAACAGCACCATAAAACAATAAGGTTCAGACTATTTATCAATCAAATGCTGCCACAAGTTCAAACACAGCTCTATTTGGCTAAAAGCCATACACCCCAGACTTTCACCACGCTGGGTAAGTATTAGACACTCTCATTAGTTTTTAGGTAACACATTTACTATTCATTCCTTTCAAGAGGACATTCTCTTTTACCTAATGTTCCTAGGTAAAACTTTGGAGCTCTGAATGGGAAAACCTCACTAGTCCCCACCAGAGAGCATATGCACCTCACAGGTCTCCCCTTCATGTGTTAACAACTTGTCGGTAAACAAGACAATAATAAGGCTGGCAATACATGGGAAGATCAAATCACCAGAAACTTCATATTGTCTCCTGTGGGCAGCCCAAGATCAAATCACCAGAAACTTCATATTGTCTCCTGTGGGCAGCCCAAGTAGCAGTAGATTTAGTCACAGTAAGCTACATATGAGCAGTTTAGGCACTCATTACCTAACGCATACATTGAGATGAAAAAACAGATTTATACACACACATATATTACCCTATCATATATCCTGACTGTTCAGTAACAAATATCAGAAATTAGCCATTCAAGAGATGATTATTAGGAGAAGAAGCCCTAATCAACTTTTTTTTTTCTCTTGCCAATTAGCGTATGTATTAGCACTTTAACAAATTTCAAATTTGGCATTGCATATTCATTTAACTGCAAACCATTCAGTTGAATAATGTTTCTATCTCATCCAGAAACCATATGTGTGCAAGATCCCAGGCTGCACCAAGAGGTATACAGACCCCAGCTCTCTAAGGAAACATGTAAAGACAGTGCATGGTCCTGAGGCACACATCACTAAGAAACACCGTGGGGATGGCCTACCTAGGAGTAATGGTACACATGAGGGTACCGGACCTCAAGGAATAAAGTGTGACATCCAGCAGGACTTAGAACCAAACTCTACCCAGGGACGGAAGGAAGAGGGAAGACTAACTGTGCCAGATATGGCTTTGGTGAGAACTGATTGAGATACACAAAAAAATGTTTTACTTTCTGCATTAAGAAATAATTAGCTAAAAGCAATTATAGAATAAAAAAATGAAGAAGAAACCAAACACAGCATGTAAGTGAAAATCATTGCTACCACTGCAGTTACAATGATATGTATTCATGATTAGATACTATAATCCTGTAAATGAAAATAAATAATGTGTGAAATCATAATGCCACTAAAGCGCCTCTATTGTTATCTTATTATTATTATTATTGCAATACAGAAATCTCAGGCCAGCCCTGGAGGACAGTCATCTTGCAGCAGTGAAAGGTCTCCATTGGGTAGCACGAACAACAATGACAGTGGTGTAGAAATGAATGCCAATGCTGGTGGCAGTTTTGAGGACTTGTCCACATTAGAGGATATTCCTTCAGTAGAGTCTATTGGAACTGCAGGAGCTTCTGCCCTCAGGAAGCTAGAAAACCTCAGAATTGACAAGCTAAATCAGATGAGAAAAGCACCACCCTCAGGAAAGTCTTTAAAACTACCCACCATCCACAATACAGGTGAGTCATATTAGGTGATTGACAAAGGACATTTTATTTTTGTATCTGCTCAGTTATATGGTGACGACACTTTTCTGCAATGCTTTACAGAGAACATAAGACTAATTGGGGGTGATTTACTAACCTAAACACACGCACGCACTAGGTGCGTGTGATTTTTACACAGCAAAACGTATTTATCAACCAAAAGCATATTTCCACTACTGCCATATATGGAAAAATCCTGCACATGATGCATATATAATGCTGCTTCACAGTTTAGACCAAAATGGTTAGCTTATGCATTTACATTCCTGCATTCATCAATGCAAGCAACACAACGTAGAGCTAAGTTACACAACATCACCTTGCAATTCATCCAGGGCTTTGCACAACACACCTGCTGGGTGTGTACACACTACAAAGGTGTCTAGATTCCACCAATAGATCATGCTGGAGGGAACACACTACAGAGGTGTATACTTGTTCGTGGCGTGTTTATAAGGTTAGTAAATCAACCCCATTATCTCAGTCCCTTTTCCACAATGAGCTCACTTAAAGCTGAACTTCAGAAAGATATAAAATAGTATATTTATAATAAATGTTGTTAATGTAGCCAATGAAGGTACCTGGATTTGTACTGATATTAGCCTCTTGTAATCCCCTGTAAAGTAGCACTCAGACAGGGAAAGGAAGGGCCAGCTCTTGGAGCTAATCAGGTTTGCTGCATGCACATGCGCTAACAAGGAACGTGCCAATAGGAAAAGACAGCAGAGTGACAGAGGGCCAAAGTTCTGCTGTTTCTTCTCTGTGCAGTCATGATGGGTCAGAGAAGTGACGTAGGCTCTTTCACTTAAATGCAGTGGAGAATTTCAGGTCACCACCATGGCTGCGCTGTTTGGTAGAGCTGTATAAATCTCAGGCCTAAATGGGCATATACACAAATCCTATGGCAGCAAAGCCGTCCCTTTCGCGCCTAAGGGGGCCAGTAAAAGAGGACCGAGCTGTCAGTGGGGCGGGAGGCGGAGGGTGGCCAAGCAGGAGGTGGCGGGTGGTGGCGGGCTGCCTAGCTGTCAGCAGGCCCAGCAGGAGGAGGTGGGAGGCGTCAGGCAGGGTGGCAGGGTGCGGGAGAGTGCTGTTAGTCACCCATGCTGCTGCCCCAATTTCCAGGAAATATGTAAATAACAATCATTTGTGCTTTTTTTTTTATTTGCTGTGAATTTTACAATAATCAAAAGTTCATTCATTTAGTTAAATCTTTACTAGATGAAGCAAAAACAATTACATTTTTGGGCTGCCTTTGTTAGCTAAGCTTCATATACAGTATAGTCCCATAAAGAGTGTATGAAGAAAATGCTTACAGATAGTATACAATGTTAATTGGGTAAACATAGTATGTAATCTACTATTTATTTAACCCGTAGAAGATTTTAAAAGTAATATGGCATTGTTGGAATGTAGGAGTTTTACAGATCTGAACTATACCTAAAATGTTAGCACTTTTTCCTAAATAGCAAGCATTTATAGGTACCCAAACATGCCTAAAGCATTAATTGAAGGGACATATTGTTTCTTTGTGCAACCAAAAGATTAAAGTGTATGTAAATTCTAACAATGTAATCTCTTACTTGCTCCCTTTTGGTGTGTTAAATGTACCATTGAAAATGTTTTGTTATATCTGGTCAATGAGTGCCTATTATAAGTGTCCTATGCACTCTGCAGTGTTATTTCAAACAATGGTACCAGGAAGCATGTTATAACCACCATCTTCCCAATGTTATGGAGTTGAGGAGGAGATGTTCTGTAATCCTAACACACTTCCTGTCCCAAGCTGACAATGCTACTCCTTCATAGATACAGTGCATTGAGTGACGGGTTGTCACCATAAGACAGGAAGTGTAATACTAGCAGGATCAAAAGGTAAAAATTAGGGATGCACAGATAGCAAGGTCTCCTACTTGGTACAAGAATTGATACTTTTCCAGCTCCAAGACTAGACTAGAGAAAAACTAAAAAATAAGGAGGCAGCTGTCATTTTTAAGGAGCATTGGCTATGGGGCTCCTGGGATTTACGCATCCCTGTTTTAATGTATGATTTGTTTTATACACATATTTTAGGGATGCACCAATACCATTTTTTCTAGACCAAGTACAAGATACTGATACTTGTCCAAGTACTTACAGATACCAATTACTGATGCATTTTTGTTTAGTGTCGTGTGACAGTTTTTCTAAAACACTACAGACTAATGATTTCAGCACAGTGGTGGGGCGCCAGGGCCCAGTCGCAGCTGCAACTGCTGCGACCCTGGTAGTTCTTGTGAAAATGCCAAGTATTGGCACTGGTATCTGTGCATCCCTAGAAAAAAATAAAGAAAATAAGCCTGAAAGGAAAAGAAAACAAAAGCAGCCACATCATTTAGGAACTGGTAAGCTGCAATACATTACATTTTTCCTTGGGTTTAGATGCACTTTAAAATTTTAAAAAAATGACTATTGTTGTTATATCAGTCGAAGAGAAACTTCTTTTCCACCTTTTGTTGGTTTAAATCTGAGTTGCAGTTTTTGATTTGCTTTTTTGTTTAAACCCACAGCTTCTCAGGGAGAAGTGCAAGGAATGTGCAGTCCACTTGGCATGCCCCACAGCAATCACCTAATGGAATTGTCTTCAAATGATCATTTAAATCCACTAAATGACAGACGCAACAGCACCACAAGCACAATGAGTTCAGCTTATACAGTCAGCCGTAGATCATCTGTTGTGTCACCATATCTATCCAACCAGCGACCAGGTGATGTTGGGAACATGGTGGATTCATATGACCAAATGACCTCAGATCCTTCAAGACATTCCAATACCACAGGGCTTCCAGGCCTAACTCCAGCACAGCAGTATAGACTAAAAGCAAAATATGCTGCAGCTACTGGTGGTCCACCACCTACACCTCTTCCCAACATGGAGAGATTGAATTCAAATAATCGGATAGCTTATCCTATTGGTGACTGTCGAGGGCCATCAATTGCTTCGGTTTTAGGTAGCAATACTCAAAGAAGGCATAGTAATAATGAATATCATACTTATGGCACAGGAATAATTCACCCAGCCCAAGCTCCAGGGGCTGGAATAAGGAGAGCCAGTGACCCTGCCAGACCTGGGGTTGATCCTCAGGCAATACCTAAAGTTCAACGTTTTAAGAGTATGTCCAACATGAATACAGCCATGATGGGAAGACAATTGATTGGTCAACAACAACATTATGGAGGCTCTGATGCAAATCTACAGAGACATATATTTTCACCCAGACCACCTAGCATCAGTGAGAATGTGTTTATGGAGGTAACCAGCACAGATGCACACACTCACAATAAGGAACACAATATGATGGTCCCTAATGAAATGCACCACTATATGAACTATCAAGGATCTCAAATGGGTACTCCTAGTAGCCAGATGAACCCAAGCCTTCAACTTCATGGGTTAGAGGTTCAACCTCAAAATGCTTACCCAAATTCTCAGAGAGTAATGGGTGGAATGCAAATAAATCCACACAATCATTCTGGCCATGACAGTGTTTTAGGACATTCTGGTTTCAATCAGTGCCAAATGACAGCTCAGAGTGAGTCCTACCAGAATCAAAGACAAATGACCAATAACTCAAATTTACCTGTTCAGTGGCATGAAGTAAGCTCTGCATCAATGGATATGGCTGCAGAACAAAGCCCAAACCTTCAGGTGATACAGTCAAATTTATCACCAGGAAGTCACTGCCATAGCCACTACTCCAATCCAGAATCAGCCAAGCGGGTTTCCCTTGCGAACAACAATTCTTGTCAGCAGAGTATGCATGTAAATAATCCAAGGTACAACCACTTAGGCCAGGTGCATATCAAACCAGAACAACAGTTTCATCAATCCATGTCATCTATGATGTCCTGCCAGAACATGAAGCATCAGGCAGCTCAACAACATGCTTTCAACCAGCCAAACACAATGGCAATGTCCCCTGGAAACACGATCTGTGATTACCAAGCCCAGCAAGACAACCAACAAAACACATGCTACAATGTTGGCCTTAACCCCAGTATGTTAAGCCCTCAGGGGCGTAGGTCACAAACTCCCATGATACAAGTGAAAGAGATGATGGTAAGAAATTATGTTCAATCCCAACAAGCACTAATGTGGGAGCAACAGCCTAAAAATATTCCCATGATGAATAACTCTGGGGAGGATGTTGATACTGGCCAGAATCAGCACAAAAATACACCTCATGCCCAATCATACATGAGCCCTAAATATATTAATTATCAGGGCAAACAGACACAGAGCAATTTATTGAGTCCAAATCCACAAGATGGCCAGTCAAGCCATACTAAAACAATGAGGAGTCCTGGAAATCAGTGTTACAGTCTAGATATGGTTCCTCATCCACCCAGTGGTCCAAAACCATTAAGCCGGCAGCACAGTATAGCAAGCCAGTCAACATACATGGGTAGTCCACCTCAACTTAGCCCATCTTACCATTCAGCTGAATCGAGTCCTAGAAGAATGGTTACTCTGCCCCCCATCCATTCTCAGTCAGACAATAATGACACCACTAACATGATGTATTACTCAGGGCAAGGTGAGATGCATCATGTAAAAACAGGAACCCAAAAGTTTGCGCCACCACTAAACCATCAAATCAGCTGTGATGGAAATCAACATGGACAGTACAATTCTAACATGAATTTTATGAAGACAGACTCCATTCCATACAGCAGCTCATGCCCAGCTTCCAACCCTTTGGACAGTTTGGACTTGGAGAACACTCAGCTTGATTTTACTGCCATCATAGATGACCCTGACCACACATCTCTAATGTCAGATAATATAACTCCAGCCGGCATATCAGGACCATCTCAACCTCCTTCACACTTGAGCACACAACGGAATCCATCATCCATGGTTCCAAACATGGCTGTGGCAGACCTGAACTCCATGCTGTCTTCTCTAGCAGGCGAAAATAAGTTCCTCAACAATATTTCTTGAGCAGATTAGAACTTCATTCATAGCGACATAAGTGACAGCTGCCCAGATCTAACTGATCGTATATGGTGCAGAGCTTGCTCATTATTACTCTATGTGTTCAAAACATGCTGGGTTATTTTTATATAGTGTGCTTACAAAAAATGCAAGATTTTAGTTTTGATAGCATTGAAAGTGCTCTTTTTCCAGTAAATCTCTATCATAATGCCTTGTCTTTTTGTCATGGACTTACTAAATATGACAAAATTTGCACATTTGCCTTATATCCTTATATTTGTAAGATGACTGTACAAGAAGTACAGAATAGAGGCATTTTTTATATATATTTCCGTTCTGTTACACAATGGCACGGGAAAGTGTTGTAGCTTAGTGACAGTATACAAAAGGCTGCCCTAGAACACCAAATAGTTACACGTTACATTTTTTATATATATTATGCACTTTAATTTTTAGCGCTGCACATTTACACACTTTATCAGTTACATGTATTGCTTACCTCTGTTATACATGAGGGTTTCTTTAATAAGGCAAATGTGCAAAATGCAGTAACCAATCAAAAACCATCTTTCATTTTGTGACTGTACTTACATATTAAAAAGTGAAAGATGACTGGTTGCTGTGTATTATTGTACTGCACACATTGTCACTGCTCTTTTCACTGCCTTATTTAATAAACTGTTATGTGTATATTAGGATATATGCTAGGGGATTATGTCTCAGGAATATTGATAACACCTACAAAAATGTACTAATGCTTTTAGGTCAGGTACACATAACGTAGTTAAGCAAACTTATCAACATTCCTAAGTCAAATTCAGAGAGTCAGAATACATTAGAGCAAGAACAAATGTAAATTGTCTGATACTGAAATGAACGTTTCATGTAAAGGACAGGACATGACAGAAACATTGGGGCTGCCACTGACTTTTTTTGTGATCATGCCATTTAAAAGGCCAGAAGCATTAAGCTACGTTTTAAATACTTTTTTTTTGTAATCTTGTTTTAATTTTTTTTTTACAATCCACATTATCAGGCTACAACTAAAAGGGAGATCTATCACAGCTCAGTTGTGCTACAAAATGTTGTTCCATCCGGTTAGCAATCTTTTGCTACTCCTAGTTAATAATCACTAACAATTTTAGAAGTACTAAAAATTTCCTGTATATCTTTCACAAAATTAGGTAACTGTAAGGTCCCATTTATGCCTTTCGGTAAAGTGCGCAATTTGTGGATTGGTGCACTACGGTGCCTTTAATTGTACCATTAACTGCTGTGCATTGTGTTGCACTAGAAAAAATACTGCAGGAGTGATTTTTGGTCTGTTGTGGCGTGTTGGGCATCGAATTCAAATAATTGGACTGCCTTTATGCAACACATTAACATGCGACTAGGAATGTTCAGATACTAGTTCAGATATCTGTGCCAATACTTGCCATTTTCATGAGAAATACCAGGGTCGTAGCGGTTGCAGCTGGGACCAGGCTCTGGAGCTCCACCTCTGTCCTGATATCATTAGTCTGTATTGTTTAAAAAAATATATATGTATATATAACAAATCATGCGTTAAAACATAGATGCACAAATCCCACGAGCCCCGTATGCTCCTTAAAAATGACAGTTGCCTCCTAACATTTGAGTTTTTCTCTAGTCTAGCCTTGGAGCTGCAAAAGTATCTATACTTGTACCACAGTACTTGGTATCTGAACATCCCTACATGTGACATAACATGCATTAACGTGTGTCAAATGCACCACAATAGACCACCCGTGTGTGAATGGGCCCTAAGAATGTGGTTAAATCTCTCAGTAACTATAGAATAAAATCACCTGTTTAGCTTAGCACTTATACCGAACCTCTGGCTTCAAAACTAAACAGAGTCAGAGAAAAGCCAGTACTCCTTATCCATACACTAGTGCTTCAGTGTGTTGAAACACAAGTGTCAGCCAGGCAGCTACCATTTTCAGGATCAAAGGTTAGCATTGGCAGCTTCCGTATTGCTTCAATGTTGCTTTCCATTAAACCTAGTGGCTGAACCAGTATGAGAAAGAAGCCTGTCAGTTTACAATGACACCATCTGTAGAACTTCAGCTGTGCTGCCTTATCAATATTGATGATAAAGTAATCACGATTTGAGGATCTCACCACTACCCAAACTGCTAATGTAATATTTAGGAGCTGAATCAATGATCTGCTATTTACTGGTTCCATTAAGCCAGGAGCAAACATTCAAAGACATTAGAAGCTCATCATCCATTGGTATTATTCTATATACTGCATTATAGCAGTTATTGTGGGCTATTACTACACATTGGTTCTAGTCTTATAACATTCTGTTCATCATTAACTCATTTATGCTCCAGAATGCTGTTTCGAATGACAAAGTGCCACCTGGATCTCCCTAGTGAATAAGCAGTTTGTATTGTTACAAAGATAGTACACAACAAACTTCTATAGGAATCTTTTATATTGTACAAAGCTTTAAGAGGAGACTCCCATTCTCTGGCTTTTGGACTGCTTACTTTTGGGGTGGCAATCATCTATAGGTAATCTAAAGAGGTTTAGCTTCACTACTCTGAAGCAAGAATGCAGTCTGGGTGTCAATGAGTGACCGCTTATATTTGAGACTTCCCAAGGCTGTGTTCCAGTCTGCCCTGGTTAAAACACAGGAACTGTCTTGGAACCGCAATCCTTAGTTTGTGTACCTCTGCTCTGTTGCACAGTACATTGCAGAGCAATTTGGAAATTCATCAATGACAAGTGGAATTCTGTTCACTTGCTTAGATGACACAAAAACATGTCTACATTCTTGGCAGGCTGAGAGAAAAGGCTGAGCGCAGCTGTTACCCAGACTCGTATCTCCATTTTCAACTTGGATTCCAACAAAAATAGTTATGTTTAAGGGGAACCTGTCACAAAAGAAATGCATATGCTGACACTCCTAGCAAGTACTAAGTTCTCTGGCTGTCATAAAGAAAATCTGACTCACTAACTAGTAAGTCATGACAGGTATGTCCACAGGATATCCAAAATGATCAGGTGAATGCTTGTCCTTTGCCATTGAATTGTTAGTGATTACTGCTACAGGACAACAGAGCAGCCAGAAAAATGTCAGCCTTTAACAAGAACTCTGGGGGAAAATGTTTAATTAAGTGCTCATTTTCATCAGAGAGCAAAAATAGCATTGTTATACTCACCTGATGCTCGCAGTTGGCTGGCTCCTAATCCAGTCCCTGAAGCTTCGCTCTCCCTACGTTCCAGCGATAGAATGTCCCTCAGCGTCCTCATGTCCAATACATTGTAAAGAATGTGATGACACAGGACCTTAGACCGCTGGAACGGAGGGGGAGAGATGCTTCAAAGACCGCTCTAACAGCCAGCCAGCTCCGAGGTTCAGGTTATAGATTTGTTATTTTCGCTCCTAAACAAAAATGCACACTTAAGGGTTAAGATAATTTTTCCCCTGAGTCCTTTTAGAAGATTAGCAGTAGAAGGATTTCTGTCATGATAGAATCCCTTAGAAGAAATACCAAAGCACATCAGTCATCGATGGAATACACTTTTTTCTTTCTATTACTGTATATTTCCCTTT